CAGAGAGACTAGGCTGCTCCCATTGGGAACATTGTCTGCAAGATACTCTGACTTCATTGCTGGGCACGTTTCAAACTAAACATAGAGTATGAGCAAGGTAGATGGTCTGTAATGGCCTCTGTGTACACCTGGGTCCCATGAACTAAAAGAGAGATGATGTGCACTCAGAAATGACTGTTCCCACCAGAGCCAAAGGGGTGGCATCAGAAAACTTGTTCAGAGAAAATCTCTCTTTATTTTTTTACCCTTTTTTTTTTTGGGGGCGTGGGGGGCAAGGGAGGAAGGAGGAGGAAAAGAAGGAGACAAAGGAGCCTGAGGGGTAGGCTCACATGGGAGTCATGACCCAGCCCCATGGAGGGCAGGACCCTGATGGAACAGAGTGGTGGTTATCCCCACAAGTTCACTCCTTCCCAGAACTCTGCCTACAATTTGCTTGTGAATGCTGTCCCCAAACCAAGGCTGTTGGGAATTACTGCAAGCCCATCTGCTGCTGCAGAAAGCAATGAATCCATATTCTGGCTCTGATTCCCAGAGTTTAGAGACTTTTTACCCAAGTTTTGTTACTTATTAGAAAGCTCTCCCGTGGTCTCTTTTCTTCTCTCCTTTTTTGACTACAGAGTTTAGCATTAAATTAATCGAGCTCATTTGTCTCAGTTCAATGATAGTCAACAAGATGCTGATTTTAAGTGACTACAGAGTTTAGCATTAAATTAATTGAGCTCATTTGTCTCAGTTCAGTCATAGCCAACAAGATGCTGATTTTAAAAACAAGCGAGATCCTGAATCTTCGGCGTGCCTCAGAGAGACATTGCCCTCTAGTGACTTGAAGTAGGGCAACGTAAAAGGACCAAAACACCACGAGTTTTGTGATTTATAGGGCAACAGAGCAACACATTTCAAATTGGAGTTCCTGACAGATGGAGTGATGCTGCCTGTGGAGAGGGCTGTGAATGCCCTGCAGCTGTAAGGAGGTCCCACCATGAGCCTTCTCAGCATCCCTTGTCCCAGTTGAAGCTCCAGCATATGGCATGACAGTGAGGATCCCCCACACCTCTCCTGCCCAGTCAACAGCTAGCATCAAGCTACCTTGAACAAGCTATCTTTCAAGTACCTTAAGAAATACCATCAGTTAGCACTCAGGCTGAGTGCCATCATCTCGTGCAAAGGCTACAGTGGCTAAGAGCTCAGCCAAAATTCTCTCAGAGGTGCTGTTTCATGTCTCATGAATAGAGGATTTTTGTAAACACTAGTTGCACCCCATCTCTCATCACTAATATGCATTTTAATTCCTCCTTCTTTTGCTTAAGTAAATACTTTGGGAATGTCTGTTGTTCTTGAGTGTTGTGCTTCACATGCATGTAAGGCAGTTTTCTTTTTGGCCACTGTTTGCCCCTTCTTGTTTTGAAGACAGTAATTCAGTTAAGGAGACAAAGCAAAACCAGAAAGTAAGAAAAGAGCCACAGTCAACCATAAAGAAATTATGAAAGTCAAGATTTCTCCTTCTTTCCCTGATAGTGCCTTTGGGAGTCAGCAAATACCCACTAAAGCAACAAAAAAGAGAGGGAGAATGGCCATCACATTCCCTCCAGATGAACAAAGATAGACCTTTCGATTAAACACACTTCAAGAAAGCCTTTATTTGTCAAGATGCTTACATTTTTAAAAGAAAAATATCAAACATAAAACTTATTCTGTAGCCAAAACATAATGTGATATTCATTTTGGAGGAAAACCTTGGGATGAGGGCATGATTTTGCAATCAGGTTGAGTGTACAAGTGAAAAGCCATTTGCAGAAAGTTTAGTGTGATAAGAAAAGTGACAAGTATCTTTGGCAAGTTTTCATTGCTTTGTTTGGGTTTTTTTTCATCAGAGACCTCCTGCACAATTCTCCCACAACCACAAAAAAAAGTGCTTTACAAAAAAAACCAGACCAATCCTAGATGATATGATTGTATGTAGTATGCCTCAAAGCTGTCTCTGAGATGAAATTGCTTCTTGTATTCAACTACTTCCAATGAACACATTTGTTTTTTCTTCAAAGCCTTTTCCCTCACCCTCTGCTAGTGACCAGCTGTGTCATGTCTTGCTGTTCTGGAGAAAAAGCTGGGGGATTGTTCCTGTGTCTTTGTGGTCAGTAGCAATGTACCTTCCAGGGCAGATCTTTAGTTTTATTTGGTGATGAAGATATTTTCTGCAGCAGCATATGGTAGCTGATGCTTTTGCTTGTATATCAACAAGAAAATAGAGCACAAGATGAATCAGACTTGGCTCAAGGCAGGGGTCCATCATTATGTGTTTACTTACTGGCTTTGCTGATTCATTCCTGGCTGTAAGAGGCTGCCACTCCAGCAGAGCAGCAGTACCTTCCATGTCATGGCTCCTCAGCACACGGTGCATGCCCATGATTTTGCTTCAGAGCAGGCTGTGAACCACAGGAAATGAGGATTCTGATATGCAACTGCATCCAAGTTAAGATACTACCACTGAAACATTTTTTCTCCCTGCTACAAAGTCTTCATCAGCCACAACTAAATCCCCAAAAGATCATGAATCAGAGCAGTAAAATGGCAAACTTGGGATTAACAGCTCTGAACATTTTTCACTGTCCTTTCATACTGCTTTTGCCCTCCTCTAACTTCAGAAGCCATCCACAAGACATAACCAAGACGAAACGAGACATTACTTCATTGTCACAGCTGCCTGACTCTGCTTGGCAGGTTGGCATCTTTTTGCTCCTTACCAAAACAGCTCAGCTCAGCGGAAACAGTAAAGCCACACTTTAACAGGTCATGTCATCATGAAACTGATGCTTGAGAGCCCTTTAGAAAGGAGCATGGAGAACAAAGGTTTAGCAAGAGAAGTTAACTGTTCAAAACATGGTTACCTATGAGGAAAGGTGACTTGGAGAGTATTCCCAGGTTCTGAGCAAAAGGGGTGCCAGTAACATGGTAAGGTCAGGTCTGCACATGGTGGGATCCGATGCAGGAGACTAATAGAAGAATGACCACACAGCTGGGATCCTGCCTGACCCACATCTACTCTGCTAAAGAATTAACCATGGAAGAGAGCCTCCTCCTATACTTGAGTGAAGGAAAGGAGGGAAGAGAAGAGAAGGGAAGGGAAGGGAAGGGAAGGGAAGGGAAGGGAAGGGAAGGGAAGGGAAGGGAAGGGAAGGGAAGGGAAGGGAAGGGAAGGGAAGGGAAGGGAAGGGAAGGGAAGGGAAGGGAAGGGAAGGGAAGGGAAGGGAAGGGAAGGGAAGGGAAGGGAAGGGAAGTCTATTTCAATTGGAAGAGACCTAGAACGACCATCCAGTCCAGCTGCCTGACCCCTTCTGGGATGAATAAAATTTAAAACACACTTGGAGCACTGAGGAGCACTGCTTCTCTAGGAAGCTTTGAGCCATTCCCACACATCCTATCACTTGATTGCTGAGAGAAGGGATCAACCCCTCCCTCTCCCCTTCCCCTCCCCAGGGAGCTGCAGAGAACGATGAGGTCGCACCTCAGCCTTCATCTCTGCAAACCAGACAAGCCCAGAGCCCTCAGCCGCACAGGAACACACTTGGAGCACTGAGGAGCACTGCTTCTCTAGGAAGCTTTGAGCCATTCCCACACATCCTATCACTTGATTGCTGAGAGAAGGGATCAACACCTCCCTCTCCCCTTCCCCTCCCCAGGGAGCTGCAGAGAACGATGAGGTCGCACCTCAGCCTTCATCTCTGCAAACCAGACAAGCCCAGAGCCCTCAGCTGCTCCTCACAGGACATGCCTGCCAGCCTATCCACCAGCTTTGTCGCCCTCTGGGTGCATCCAGGGCCGTTCCCGTCCCTCTGAAATGGCGTGGTCCAGCACTCCCCGCAGCAGGGACCAAGCCAGAGACGCGTGGTTAGACCAAAATCAGCCACACGGAGGAGACTCTGCGCCACGGATGCTCCTCGCGCAGCTCCTGTAGCACTGGCCTCAAATCCCATCTCTGCCACCCACCTTGGAAAGGAGATACTTATGTACTCTCCTGCACAGGTGTAACAAAAAAAACCCACAAGAAGCAAACAAAAACAAACGCCCACTTTGGTTTAGTTTCAGTGATTTAATAACATCAAAGCCAGCATTCTTTATACTCAAGCTAAAACTGTTCTTTTGAAATACTAAAATTTATTTTCTTTTTAAACATCCACAATATTAAAAGCACTGGGGGGTTTTGGAGCCAACAGCCTTTGAAAAGCGTTCTCCTTCTGTATGGCACCCAAAAATACGTGGGTGCTAAGAACTAGCTAAAGACCTGCTCCTCCTCCAGCCTGCTGGATGGAGCCAGGGGTGGGAGTGAAATCTTCTCTGGGAAAGCCCCCTGCTTGTATGGCACTAACACAACTGGCAAAGGCAAACATGAAGAAAACATTTGAAGCAATTGGAAGAAAAATGTAAGTGGAGGAGAGAAAAACGAAGACGAGGCAAAACCCCATCATTCCTCCTCTTGCTACTGTTGAGCTATTTCAACACTAGCAGCATGGTTATCTTTCTACTGGAGCAGGATCCCATTGAACTGGAAATTGAACTGGAAAGAGGCTTTGAAGTGCCTCTGAGAAAACTTCCAGCTTCAGAATACCTCAGAAATGTTCCTCTGCTCTTCTGCAGAGCTGGCCTGTGAGGTAAGCAGGCAATTAAACTCACTGTCCTTGTGAGAAAGGCAATTGCAGCAACAATACATGTGCTAGGTTACACAGGCAGTAGGCAGCAGAGCGAGACTCCTTTGCACCGCCTTTCCACTTAGGTGCCACAAGACTAGAGACAGAGAACAAGGCAGTTGCCTGCTCTGACTGACACAGAAAGTTGGGTTTCACTGACTGTAGCTTCCAGACAGGCTGTCACTGTTGAAAGCAAATTAGATCAGCTGGGCATCAAGCGATACCTCCCATCAGTTTTCACCGCCCACTGCTGCCAGCTTGACACTTCTCTTTCACGCTGCATGTGCCAACTGCCTTACAAAGCCAGCTGCAACATCTACTGGAAGGACATGAAGAACAGCCACAGGTGGGGAGAGGAGGTGGGGTATCAACTCAGTGTTGGGTTGAGGAGACCTTTTCCTGCCTTAGTCCAGGCAGAAGACAGGGTTCTCCAAGAAGACTGCAAGCTTGCTGGCCACCAGGTCCAGGTCACTGGTGTTGGCATATTTAAGCAGATTGGTGTTCTTGAGAAAGTAATGCTTGAGGAAGTGCTGGCTTACACACTTGTGCAGCTTCTGTACCAGCCTCAGGAAGGCTTCAGGGAAGCAGCGCCAATCCTTGGTGCGCGGATATTTTTCACACGTCCAGAATAGCACTGTCTGCAAGAAGCAGATGGGAGAGAAGATGTGTTAGAGGTTCTGTCGAGGGCTCACACAGCTTACTAAGGCAGTTTTAGTGCTGGTAAATGGCTGACAGCCTTGCAAATCAAAGAGACTTGCACTGCTATCTCCCTGTGCTAACATTTCTGCAACGGAGGGATCACAACTAAAGCTTCTTCTGGGGGCTAGGCAGAGCAACTCTGATGTGCCCAATTAGGATCTCTCCCCAGAGGAGCCCCTCTCCATTGACTGAGCCAGGAGCCTAAGGAAAATGGTCTTGCTAAAATAATCTTAGTCTATTTGCCATCCTCCAGCAGGAGCATCTGTAGAAATGCCAGGCATTTTAGGCTGTAGAAAATGGCCTTTTATGCCAGCATAGAAGCCAGGAGGTGCAAGGAGGGAGAGAAGCATGATGAGATTAACATAATTATTTGTTAGCTTCAGCTGTATTTGTGCTGAAGATGCACACAGGTCTGCATCCTAAACAGATTGAGATTCTAAGCAACTATCACAGGTGCAAGGCTTCTGGTCAAGTGCTGCCTGGTTTTTTTCTGACATGTGATATTTACAGCATGTCTTATGTTCTATTCCCCCAAATTTATTTGATGCAATTTTACATTTGAGAAATCCATAGATAAAATAACAAAATGCATATGATTATTGCTCTTATAGTATTATTTTTTGTACTGTCCATGTTGCATTTTTTTCAGACTTTGCTAGGACTGAGAAGAATTTTCTTGAGGTACTTACAGTTACTGTACCAAAAAAGCCATACTGACTGCCTTGGTCAACCTGACATCAGTTTTTAAAGTACAGTCACCTATCCTGGGTTCAATAATTCTGCTAAGTTCCTTAACTGTCCTCTGAATCCCAGTTTTATTTTGCAGATTCAGCAACCCAAAAAGAAACCCACAGGTGCTGCGAGAGGCGGCTGAACTACAGCCTTTAACTCCTCTGTTTCTACAGAGGTAGAATTTCATCTATGGTTGTATTGCTGACAAATTTCTTCTCTGACAGCTTTTCAAATGTGAACAATTTTTTGTTCACAGCTACAATAACCACAAAGCAGGTTTTTTTTAACATCACCAGGGAACAAAGACACAGTGAGGAATTCAAGCTGTAACTCTGTGGAGCTAATCCTTGAAGACTTGCAGAGCAGTTATCTTTTGTCACACTAAAACTACTTCAGCAAGATCCAAGGGCAGTAGTTGCAATGAAGTTTCTGGAGGCAAGAAAAACAACACTGCTTTGCTGGTCAGGTGCCAAACAGGTGACTTATGCCCAGCATTTATGGAACTGTCCCTAAGTGCTAGCTGCCTACTGACAGCATAGAGTTGGTTTTCAAAATATACCTAGTTCTTTTTGAACTTCCAGATCTTGAACTTCATTCCTATGGAGGTAAGCATAATGAGTGCACTTATTTGGCACTCTAAGGCTTTCACAGCTTCTGGGGGGAAGGATTTCCTCTGTTGTAGAGGGCTTTTTTCATATGGAGTCTTATTTAATCCTAATTGTTGGATACCTCTGATGGGAAATTTGAGAATGTGAAGAAACCTAACACTAAGTCTCTGTTCAGCTATTGGTTTATCTACTGACTATTTACCTTGTGCTTTTTTTCTTTTTTTTTTTTCTTTTTAATTTTAGTAATTTTGAAGAATTGTTTCTGTCTGGTAAACCAATCCTCTCTTGCAGTAAGAGCCTGAAGTACAGTTACAGTAAAGAACTGAAGAGTTTCTAAATATTTTTTTGATTTTGATCAAGAGTCCATGCAACAGCACTTCCTGCACATCTGCTCCTTCAGCCAGAGAAAAAAAAGTTACTGATGGTTAAAGGGTTTTCTACTTTCTACTACCTATGACAGTTTTTCCACCAGGTTGTTCTTACAGGCTCTGAGAAGTTTTGCATTCTGCTAAGCTACAGTCAGCCTCATCAACTCCTTTACTTACTCTTGACTTAGAGTAGTGCCATGAGTATAACAGCATTTGATGGGCACAGGCTTTTTCTTTAGGAGAAATCTTGGCATTGCATCTGGTTTGGGACATCAAAACATTGGTAACTACTGTGGAAACCTGGTGGCTTGAGGCTTCAAGGTGGCAGCTCCAGGAAGATGGCATCCCAGAAAACAGGATTGCTCCACAGTCTGACAAATGATGCTGCCTGTAGTTCACTGGTGTCTGCAGCTGTCAGATGTGGGGACACAGTTGTAGCAGTCATAGAATCATAGAATCAACCAGATTGGAAAAGACCTCGAAGATCATCGAGTCCAACCCTACTGTCGTTACCAGACCATGGCACTAAGTGCCACATCCAGTCTCATCTTGAAAACCTCCAGGGATGGGGAATCCACCACCTCTCCAGGCAGCCCATTCCAATGCCTGATCACTCTCTCTGTAAAAAATCTCATCCTAATATCCAACATAAACCTTCCCTGGCAGAGCTTG